CTGTATTTTTGTGTAAACTGCTGTGATATAGTATTTAGGAACTTTTCCCCCAACATTTCATGGAAGATTTTACAAGCATCCGCCAATAGTATTGTATATATAGTGTAATATATAGTATAATTTTAACTCATTCAACCTGACTATGTATAAATTGTTCAAATGACTGGTAAAAGCGAGTTTGCATTTTCTCTGTGTTCGCATGGGTTTCCTCTGGGTGCTCCGGTTTCCCCCACAGTCCAAATTCATGCGCTATAGATGAATTGAATGAGCTAAATTGGCCGTAGTGTATGAGTATGAATGAGAGCGTATGGGTGTTCCCCAGTTATAGGGTTGCAGCTGGAAGCGCATCCGCTGCGTAAAACATATGCTGGTTAAGTTAAGTTCTTTCCGCTGTGGCGACCTTTGATTAATAAAGGCACCGAAAAGAAAATGAATGAATGACTTGTAAAAGCAACCAAATTTGTGTTTTGACTATACATGCCATTAGTTGTCAAAGAGAAATGCATCACAATAATAATTTACAATTGGCAAAAACAAACAAATACCACAACATTGCAGGAGATGCTTATAGATTTTGTAAACAATGGAAAAATCTGCTATGGTGAACTATATAGGGCCCTATCATGCACCCGGCGCAATAAGGCGCAAGTCGTGTTTTGTTGCTATTTTTAGACCAGCGCAACCCTTATTTTCACATTTTGCACCACGTTGTTTAATTAGTAAATCCATTTGCGCCACTTTGTGGATTCATGGGTATTCCGGTCTATAAAGGTGTAGGGCGCATTGTTGGTGCAATGCTATTTTAAGAGTAGACCAAGCCATTGACCTAGTAAAAGCAGGTCTAAAATTCAGCTCAGAGCACGTTAGATTTGCACCTATATACAGCAATGCACAAATATGTTTACATAGGAAAAAAATAAAGCATTAAAATGTTACAAAAATTATTATTCTCTACATAAATATAAAAACCACTGCCTCCATGCCACATCTCAGGGGGCTTTTTCAGTTTATTCATGACAATTTGCATTTGTATAATGTTATTATTCATTCATTCATTTTCTTGTCGGCTTAGTCCCTTTATTAATTCGGGGTTGCCACAGCGGAAAGAACCGCCAACTTATCCAGTTGTTATTATCAGTATTATTTATTGCATGCATATTTATATTTAAATAAAAACTAGCTTAGATTTGTCCACCTGTCAGGTTTTGGAGACGTTTACATCATCATATGGGACATAAGAATAGGATATGTGTTAGGATATAACTCAGTATTTTGACCACACTTTGTTATTATTGTTCATTTATTCATTTGCTGGAAATTAGAACTGAATTTAGAAATAGTTTTAAAATGAATCTTTGCGCTTAACAGACGAAATTAAATATGTAGACTAATGGATGTTCTCAGTGGAGTGCGTACAACACTTTCCTTATCCATGAAAGTGTGGCTGGAAGAGCATCCTCTGCATCAAACATATGCCGGAATAGTATGAGGTTTATTCCTCTGTGGCGACCCCTGATGATTAAGGGACTAAGCCAGAGGTGGACTGGGACAAAAAAATCGGCCCTGGCATTTTGGGCCAGAGCAGCCCACTACTCAATCAAAATGCTACCTATCTGTGCACGCCCTTGAGTTTACCAACTCCTATTCTATTCTAAAAAATGAACATAAAGTGATGATAATAATGAACAAAATAAAGTTAAATAATAAAAGCAATGTGTCAGAGACCCTTTAAAATGTTTAACTCTACAATGAAACATCAATAAAGCTTAAAGGGCACATAGTTTACCCCTTTTTATGATTTAATATTAGTATTATGGTTGATTAGGGGGCCCCGCGTCGTCGCGATTTTTAATAATTGAAAATCCGGCAACCGCAATAATCAAATCCCTGGAAACAACTGTGGTCGGAACCAAAGTTCCCAGGTCTGTGTTCTCTGAAGTCCTCTCAAACGTTGGACTACTTCATTCTGATTGCTAGCCGCCGAACCGCATCATAGCTCATACCATAAAGTTGACTTGATTTCAAGTCCTCCTCGATGCCCACACCGGAGAAGATGTGCCGTGCTGCTCTTCGCCACCGGTTCTCATTGAAATTGAATTACTTCCGGCTACTTTGGCGCTCTCGCCGCTTGTTTGTGAACGCTACCCCGCGTCGTCGCTCCACCCCGCCTCCCTTTCCCTCTCCTTAGTTTGTGATTGCTCCTCAGTTTGTGAAGGCTTCCCCGCGTTGTCACTCCACCCCGCCCCCCTTTCCCGCTCCTCAATTTATAATCGCTTCCTCACGTTGTCGTTCCACCGACTCTCCCTGTCCCCTCAGTTTGTGATTCCCCCCCCATCAGCATTTTGCGCTACGCCACTGCAGCTTGCTGTTTTAAGGGTGTGTTGCTTCACATGAAAATTAGTTTCAGCTTCCCGCCAAATGTAACAAGGGGGTGAAGCCAAGAGCTCACCCGCTCTGTGTTTGCAACAGACAGGCAGACTGAGAAGTAGCAGGAGTGAGAGGATCAGCATTTAGCCGTACATCTACGACTCGGACACAGACCAAGCAGACAGTACACAATCATTTGTGTCTTTTTATAGTTTTACAGCAAACTGTGTGCTAGTTCCAAGTGTCAAGCTTGTACACCGATACTAATAACCACGGACACTGAACTAACTTTGACTGAGGCATCGGATGCGCCGTTCAAAACCGTGACACGGCACACTAAACACTCTCTGTGGCGCGGCAGAAACCTCAAGTGTCCCGAATCGTTGCGCCATGCATTTTAGAACTTTAAACACAGGTTTCTTTCTGGGCACACACAACGGCGCCCTGAGCTTCTGAGCTGAGCTTCTTGTGTGCGACCTGCAGGCAAGTTTGTTATTTCATGTTTATTATGTTTATTTTTTGTTTGTTTGTTTTTATGGAGAGACGTGCACATGAGGCAACATGCTTGCACTTTTCCAGCTGCACCTAGTTGAGAACACAGGGAGCTTCTTTGAACATGAGATATGCAAACGGCTGAAGTTTAAGGTAGACGCAATGAAAAGTAGGTTTGCAAACCTACCTAAAGTTACAAACAATAATTGAGATTAGAGCGATAATGTGGAGAATATTGATCTTGTGTTGGAACTAATGAGCCTTACATCTAAAAATAGAGCAAGGGTGTTCCTTTAATGAGATGGCTTTGACTCGGGCTGAAAATGGCGGACGTGAAACAACAAACTGAGGATATGGTGATGCGCCTGTCAATCAATATTGGTGGGCTGGGGAACTGCACTGCTATGTCAAGTTGCGGTCACTCTGAAAACCGATCCAGTTAGTCCACCGTTTTTAAATTGTTAAATTGAAAAAAAAAAAAAAAAAAGCACTGGGTGTGTTTATATCACCTCAATATGACGGAGGTCATACACTATACCTACACACATGACTGTCCAAACAGCTTGAAAAGTAGATTTTTTACCAGAGGTGCCCTTTAAAGATTGTATGTAGTCAATCAAATTAAGATAATCGAATAAAAATGCAACAAATATTTGTTTGGGCCCGAACAACTATATAGGGCTAAAAGATTAGGGCATGATTAGGGCTAAATCATGCTGACGATCAAAAACAAAATGTCATGATTTCACAGGCGATTGTTTTCTGATTGAGTGCACTGTAAAATATATGAATGACACTCATAGAGCTTGATCTAATGATCTGATGATCTGTGATCTGTGACGCTCTGAGATGTTTCTTTTCCAGACAGACCAGCCCATGTAACATAATCTGCAGCCCATTGGTTCTTTTCTTTACTGACATTGGGCTGACCCAAACAAACTTCCATTTTGGGCTCTGTGTAAGCGCGCAACGTGTGTATTTGTCAAAATAGTCGAGAGTCACGCTTGTTTCTCACCCCACGCGTGGGAGATCAGAAGCAGTGAGTAGGCGTTTGCCTTTTGTGTCTGCAGCGCGCATATCAATAAATTCCTGTCTATTCCACCTAGTTACCTATCTGTCTATATACATATACTTTTTTAATAAACTTTTCATGCACCAAGGCCTGCAGCAACTTCCTCCTATGCTGTTTCCCTAACCTGCAAGTCTTTATTTTACAAATTGTAAAGAATGTCTGCTTCTCAAGCTCTATGAGGAGTGTCATTCATGCATTTTAAGATGCACTCGGTCAGAAGACAATCGCATGAGATATCATGGCGCTTTGTTTTTGATCATCAACATGATGTAGGCTTATGGTACAATAATATTTATACAATAGGATATTTATACATGACCAAACTAGTGTGCAACTTCAGCAAAACTATTTTTTTACATTTAGTTTTGTAGTTCTGCCCAAACAAATATTTGTTGCAATTTTTAATTGCTTATGTTCATTTGATTGACTATGTCTATGTTTGATGTTTTATTGTTGAGTTAAACATTTGTTAAGACTCTCTGATACATTGCTTTTATTATTTATCTTTGTTTTATTAATCAACATTAACTGTGTGCATCATCAGGCAGATTTTGTTAAGTTTATCAATTAATAGGTTTCCTCAAAACACACCGGCACACACAAGATGGACTTCCAGTGTGGATTATAATTTTATTTTAATCATAAATTACATTTTTTAAGTTTTTAATTTGTCAACTCTCGTTATTTCCTATATATGGCTTTTTTGCTTTTATAGAATGGGAGTTGGTACACATATTCAAGGGTGTGCACAAATGGGGAGGATTTTGATTGATGTAGTGGACCGCTCTCTCAAAATCCCAGGGCAGATTTTTTTGTCCCAGTCCAGCCCTGATGGCCAGTCCGCCCCTGGACTAAGGAAAATTCAATAGTTGGTTTTGTGTTTAAAGTATTTACTGTAGACAGTGAAGTTTATAAATTGTTAAAAATAATAACTCAGTATCACCTAAAAAACATAAATAAAACAGTGCTGCTTGTATGAATAACCCATGAATTTGGTTATTCTGCTTGGTGTTGTGTGTTAAGATCATTTCATCAACAAACTCAAAAAGACACATTACAAATGCACAAGTATTGCAAGCGAATGTCGTTTATTGAGGCAATTTGGTGGACAGATAATTCATGCAACTAAAATGAATGAAATTTGGTTAGGTTGACTGCATGAAAGGAAGTAGTTGATGTGGTTAATAGTTTTATATATGTCAGATCTTTTTAAAAATATGTGAAACTACAAATATCACATATTCTACAACAATACTTCCACAAACAGCAACATCTAAAAGCAAGCTCCCTAATGAAAATGCACCCTTTGCTTCAGCGTTTGCTATTGATTACATTTAACTAAAAGCTTTTAACTCTGCCAGTCGATCAGCATGAAAAGCTTGCTGAATTATCAATTCAGCCGCTTGTTCACTTTTCTTTGACAACGACGTCGGTGAATCCATGCACCTGAGTGAGCTGAGGACAATCCAGAGATGCCAGAAGCTTGTGAGGGCCGTGACATTTGGGAATGAACTTCTCGGTCAGGTTCACAGTGGCCAGGCCTGCAATATCACTGAGAAACACATAGAAAGGAACATGTTTAATTGCTGTATACACTATTAGACTTTGCTGTAGTTTTACAGTTGTTTACTGGAAAGAAAACAGCTAGTAAAATAATACACACATTCTCTACAGTTCCCTACTGTAATATGCACTGCATTGTGGGTCATTTGAAAACTTTTACAGTAACTTACTGCATATTATGATATTGCGGTATACTACTGTAATCAGGGTAATCAAGTACTGGTACTGTAGTTGAAGACAAAAACGAGACAAATGAGTCGCTTGTTTGGAATTTATTAAATTCAACAGTAAATACTAACAATAAAGGTTTACTGTTGGTGTAAAATGAAAATCAATGACAGTAAAAGTACTGTAAAAATGGTCATACTGTATAATTAAAACATAGTAAAGGGTAATTTACCATAAAAAGAAGTTGTGGTAAAACTATTTTACTGTAAAATGAAATTGTGGTACGGCCCTGCTACTGTAAAACACATTTACAGTAAGTTACTGTAGTCGTGATAACTTGCTGGCAACAGTGCTGTCAGTAAGTTACTGCAAAATTATAATAAAATGTCTAACAGTGTGTATACCTTGCTCCATTCTTATTATATGAACCTGGATCACAAAAAGTGTAGATTTTTGGAATTTAAGTTTGTAGATTATCTCAATAAGCTGAATAAATATGCTTTTCATTACTGTTTTTGTTTCATTCAATCACTAAATAACCAAAGAGTTGATGGTGATTAACTGGTGTGAAATATCAAACCAAAAACAAGTTATCTTCAAAGAAAACAGCTTGCCAAATCTAATTTTCTGGAAGTTTGCTCTTGCTAAATAAGCTTTTGGTAACACTTTATTTTTATGATCCATTGGAGTATTGGTAGACTGTCTGCTTAATATCTGCTGATACTGCTCCTTCAACCGACGTTTAACTGACTTTAAGAAACTTTAAGTATGTCAACTTACACTAACCATAACCCTAGTCTACTTATAATTTATTGAGAATTAGTTGGCATGTAGATGCCATGCGAGCTAAATTCAACAACTGGACCATCAAAATAAAGTGTGACCTAAGCTTTTCATTAATGCATGGGTTTATTAGGATAGCCAAATATTTGGTTGAGATGCAACTGTTTGAATATCTATGATCTAAGGGTTCGAAAAAAAATATACATTTTAAGAAAAGCAATTTGTCAAAAATTCATTCTCTAAATCAGTGGTCACCAAACTTGTTCCTGTAGGGCCGGTGTTGCACGCGACGCAATTGTTGTTTGCTAGTTTCAGCTGGGCGCAAGAATCGTTTTGATGTTTTGCGCCACGCTGTTTAAATAGCAAATGCATTTGCACTCAAATGTGCCCATAGGCGTTCTGGTCAAAAAAGGGAGGTGTGTTTTAGCGCATTGCTATTTGGAGAAACTATAATAAAATTTTCAATAGCCCAGAACAGAGCCGGTCTATTGTCCAGCGCAGAGCGCGTTAGTTGTGCGCCTCGGTTACACACTGCTTAATACACACAAGATGTAGAGCAATACACAAATATCTTTACATATGAAAAATAATTTAAATAATAAGGATGTATAAAGGATATAATAAGGATGAAAATAGCCTTCTGGCTATTTCTCGGTTGCATTTGCAGCAAAGCTAATTAATGTACACTATTCCTGCCAAAAACATACAATGCCAAGATCTGTTTAAACTACTTATTCAAAATGACCTAAAAACACAATATTTACGTTTTTTCGGGGGGACAACTTAATTGGTTTATGTTTAATCCACTTAAATTTGTAAAAACAATTAAGTTAATTTAATCAATTTGTGTTGGGGCAACATGAAGGAATTGTGTGGAATCTGCCTTTTTTTTTTTACACTCTGCAATGTATTTTTGGCTATTCACAAAAATTTACCCGTGCAACTTAAGACTTGGTTTTGTGATCCAGGGTCACATATAATGTAACACTCAATTTCCTACCCATAGTTGATGGATCTGCAGTGCTTCAGACCCAGTCCCTCAATGCGGAAGATGGCGTTTTTCAGCACGCAGGGCAGTGGGTTTTGGAAAGTGATTTTGACTGGCACTTCTTTGCCCACAACACAATCGCATCCAGGCTGAAAGGTAAAAGCACAAACGACATTTACACCACAGACACCACTTTCAAAAGTCCAGATAATAAGCACTGCTTTAAATAGATTATAAAAAACTAAGCGTGAGCCAGTCAATTTTGCCCTACCCTGTCAGATTGCCCTCATTCCCTTTAAAAAAGTAGGCAGCACATTTTGTTGATGAGATATACTACCTATCAGATTGTTCTACCATTGTAAATTTTGAGTGCTGTGATGAGCGTCTGTAATATCACCCTGATCCCTAACCCCAACATCAGAACTATTCAAATACAGTGTTAAGGTTTCATGAAGTGCTTTGAAATGTGTATTTTTATTCAGTGTTTGACGTAATCTCAACTATAACATGAATAGAGGGTGACAGAGTAGCTCCTCCCCTTTAAAAACAGTCAATAGGGTTTAGTTTTTACACAGCTCTGCCAGTGAGAGTAGTTGAGCTCAAGAGCATCAAATGAAAAGTGAATGAGAAGTGTCTTGAAGGGGGCGGGGCATATCAGATACTAGAGAGCATTTAATTGGTTAGAAGATGTGATGAGAAACTGGAGTATGAGGTAATGTGAATAAAACCGTTTATCCATTCAGTCGGAACTGCAAGCTTTGAATGTTTATATCAGGTTTTTATCTTCTAAATGCAAATTTTTGTAACTGTTTTGGAGCGTACTATCATATATACATTATTAAAACTAACATACTATTACTAACATTTAAAAACTTAAGGGGGAACTTTAAGTGTATGATTTCAAGTCATTGAAACTCACAGAAATAGCAAGGCCGGGTGTGGGCAGTCGAAAGTTGAACCGTTTGGCCACAATCTGCTGAGTCTGAGTGACGCGTCCGGCAACAGTGACCATCATCGTTGAATGATCCACAAGGTGGTTCTTGTAATCCTCATATTTCAGAGACCACTCCAGAACCTTGGCTAAAGGAAGATAAACACTGATGAATACAAATGCTTCTTTTTAAAAAACTACTCATACAGTATTTTAGGGTGCTTTCACACCTGCCTTATTCAGTTCGGTTGAATCGCACTAGAGCTTGTTTTCCCTCTTGGTGCGGTTCGTATGGGCAGGTGTGAATGCAGCAATCATATTCGAGTGCGCACTAAAGGCGGACCAAATAAGCGTACCGAGACCTGCTAGAAGATGTGGTCTCGGTACAGTTTCAAACAAACCCTGGAGCGGTTCGTTTGTGGTGAGAATATGATCCGAACTAAAACAGACCCAACCGCAAAAAGTACTGTGCCTTTTGGACTAATCCAGCTGCCGTAGGTTGATGCGCTGTGCATTATGGCATATGGAGGAAAATTATTTGTTGACAGTGGTTTACCAACAGAGAGAGAGAGAGAGAGAGAGAGAGAGAGGGGGGAAAAATCTAATTAATGGATCGTTGGTAATATTTCCGCAAGATGACCATGTCGCAGTTTAGCTAAATTAATTCACGCCTCCTCCTGAAGTGACATGCGATGCATTAAAACACTGTTTTTTAAGCTGCGGCTGCCCTTTATTCTCAAAATGTTTAGTTTGTTTAAAGCAGGTATACAATCAGTGAGCGCAGTCGTCCCTCCATAGTAAATAGCGTCATTTTGTGTGTGCCTGTTTGTTTACTTGCGGGAGTTCATTGGCATTTTCCCACATGTGAATTCTGACCAATCGATAAACAGTTTAGGAACTATGTTCAACAACATCTGGCCAATGAGAGATGTGGATTTTGTCAGATGACTGCATTTTGGTTCGTTTCAACTGGTTCAGACCAAAGCCACCAGTGTGGTGTGAAAACGACCTAAAGAAGGCAGCAACAATGTATTATTTATTGCCCTTGGTCCGGACCAAATGAAGCGAACTACAGATGTGAAAGCACCCTTAGAGTCGATTTTAGTCTCTACAATGGCTAATCTTATGTATATGCACAATTATAATATTGTAAAGCATTCATTCATTCATTTTCTGCCGCTTTTCCAGGGCCGGGTTGCGGGGGCAGCAGTCTTAGGAGAGAACCACAGACTTCCCTATCCCCAGATAACTTCCTCCAGCTTCTCCGGGGGGATCCCAAGGCGTTCCCAGGCCAGCCAAGAGACATAGTCCCTCCAGCGTGTCCTGGGTCTTCCCTGAGGCCTCCTCCCGGTGGGACATGCCTGGAACACCTCCCTAGGTAGGCATCCAGGAGGCATCCGAAACAGATGCCCGAGCCACCTCAGCTGATTTCTCTCGATGTGGAGGAGCAGCGGCTCTACTCCGAGCTCCTCCCTGGTAACAGAGCTCCTCACCCTATCCATAAGAGTACGCCCTGCCACCCTTCGAAGGAAACTCATTTCGGCCGCTTGTATCTGAGATCTTGCCCTTTCTTTATGATCCAAAGCTCATGACCATAGGTGAGAGTAGGAACGTAGATTGACCGGTAAATCGAGAGCTTTGCCTTTCGGCTCAGCTTCTTCTTCACCACAACGGACCGGTACATCGACCACATTACTGCTGCCGCTGCACCAGTCCGTCTGTCAATCTCACGTTCCATCCTTCCCTCACTCGTGAACAAAACCCCGAGATACTTAAGCACTGTATGTATGCACTCTATGTATACTGACCTCCTGAAAAAACTCAAAAAAGTCCTTGTGACTTTTGCGCACAAAGCTCATTCTGATTCTGAACTTTCTCAATCATTTCTTACTTTCAGTAGCCTTGAGCTCGAAGCATGTCTGGTCCTTCTTCACCAAGGACTTGTGGATGCCGGTGTAGTAAGCAGCCGACAGCTGGCTGTGGAGGGTGACGCTACGAGTTGAGCTGCATTTATTCTTCAGAGCGATGCAAAGCACTGCATCCTTGCCCACACACACTCCATCACCCTTCATAGTGATGTCACAGATGACATCCTCGGCGCAGGGCAGAGGATATGCGCACTTTTTGGAGCCATGACGAAGAGCAGTTTCCACAGCACGACGCTCCTCCTCTGAACCTGATGAATGTGGAGAGCAAAAGCAGAAGTAAAATTACAACTCCTCCAAAAGAAAGAGACTCTCTTGTCTCCAGAGATGTTATAGGAGTATGGCAATATTTATATATTATAGTTATAGTTTATAGTGTTTTCATACTCCTGACAGTTTTAAAATATTTATTTTGTGGTTGAGAAGAAAGCATGTATATTCATCTAAATGCTGCTACATGTTTAGTAATATTAATGTTATAAACCACGGGTGCCCAAACTCGGTCCTGAAGGGCCGGTGTCCTGCAAAGTTTAGTTCCAACCCCAATCAGACACACCCGGCCCTTACTAGGCTTTCTAGAAAGAGACTTTAAAGAGTGTTATGTCTCCAAAGATGTTATGGGGTATGACAGAGGCAACACACAGGTATTCAAATTCCAGGTCATCTTATTTACTAACACTGATGTTATGAGGAGAAAGAATGTTCCAATGAAGGAAACATATTAATTTAAAATGGGGGAAAAATTGACCAGCAATATAAAAAGAAAAAACACCAAACCAGATTATTATTATTATTATTATTATTACTATTACTATTATTATTATTACTATTACTATTATTATTATTATCATTATTAATTTTACTATTACTATTATTATTATTACTATTACTATTATTATTATTATTATTATCATCATTATTAATATTACTATTACTATTATTATTATTATTATTATTACAATTACTATTATTATTATTACTATTACTATTATTATTATTATTATTATCATCATTATTACTATTACTATTATTATTATTATTACTATTACTATTATTATTATCATCATTATTAATATTAGTATTACTATTATTATTATTATTATTATTATTACAATTACTATTATTATTATTATTATTATTATTATTACTATTACTATTATTATTATTACTATTATTGTTATTATTATTATTACTATTATTATTATCATCATTATATTTATTGTTATTATTACTATTTTATTATTATTATTATTATTATTATTAAATATTTCTTCATGATATAAAAATTGAGAGATCCCGGACGAGCCCCACCTATGTTACGTCTCCAAAGAAGTTATAGGCGTGGCAGAAGCAATACAAATGAATTCATATTCCAGGTTATGTATTTTATAAGTGCATAATATTTTTCTAGATATTTTTGAGACACCAGTATTCAGCTTAACCTCCTAGGGCTTGAGTTTCCACATATGTGGACAGCCCATTTTAGCTCTTAAGTGCCTATTTAAAATAGTTTGAATGTTTTATATTTTGTTACAGACATACAGTGTCATCCTGCAACTGTTTTGCAGCATATGAATTGTCCCAAACACTATTTCTAACTGTCCAAAATGGGAAAAAAATAGTTTTTACTCTCTGATAGTCAAAGCAAGTTTGAAAAAAAAAATTTCCGGAAAAAGTGGATATCATTTTTCTCTAAAAGTACATCATATCAAAAGATGATATTTAGATTTTTATTCTAATTAGGTTCTAATGAGCCAAAAATAGCAAAGAAAAATAAAAATTCATGTAAAAAAACATGGGTCTTAAGAGGTTATAATGTAATTTAAAGACTTGACTAGGTTAATTAGTTTATTAGGCAAGTCAATGTAAACTATCTGTTCTGGTTTTTTCCGTAGACAGTCCAAAAGATTGGCTTGAACCAAGTCTTACTCATAAATGAATGCAGCACACTCAGAGACGTCATAAGTAGGGCCAGACGGAATCTGCGGACGTTTTTTGCTATTTCTGCAAAGAATTTTGGTAAAAGTCTGTGGATTTCTGCGGAATTGTTTTGGGAGTATCATAACTAAAATCTTAATATATGGAATAAAAAATATCTTTTTAACTTTTATTTAAAGTTTAAAATGCAAATTCAATTAGATTTACTTTATTTGGTAAATAAAGCAAGTTTGTCATATAATATCTCTACTAAAAGACAGAAAATAATACTGTACAAACTGCATTGTACATAAATCCGATGAACATTTTCACATTAGTCAATAATATTACTGAAATTAATAAAAAAAAACTGAATAAATATAGATTTACACACATTTACTCAAGTAAATAAACATAACTAATGATGGGCTAAAAATCCGCAGAAATTTGTAGAAATCTGTGTGCGCAGATTCCGGGTGGGCCTAGAAGGTACAGACATCCATTCTACACGCTGGAATACACGATAAGATCTCATGGTCGTGACGCAGCTTCAAAAATTCCTTTCAAACAGGAAGTACGAATTTGCTCAAAATAATGCAAAAACAACCAATTTTCACTTTTTAGTGAGATATATGTGTCCTAATAGTGTTTTTAGCAGTGTGGGACACATATATGACTGTCAACATGAAACAAATAAGACTTTCTCTAGAATTAAAAATATTATCAGACATACTGTAAAAAAATTCCTTGCTCTGTTAAACATCATAAGGGAAATATAATAAATAAAATAAAATAAATAAAATAAAATCACATCTTCAGATGTATACAATAAATATATTAATAAAATATCTCTCCTTGATATAAAAATGGCCCCCACATGACAATGTCGTACAGTTACACCAGCCAATAGCAACAGAAAGACAAAAACAAAAGCACAACATCAAATTCAGGCTCTTAAAAGAGATAGTTCACCAAAAAAAAAAAACATTTACTTAAAATTGACTTACTCTTAAGTGGTTCCAAGCATGTTTGAGTTTCTTTTTAATTCTGATGAACATTAAAAGTAGGTATTTTGAAAAATGTTTTCTCAAAATATCTTCTTTTGTGTTCAGCACTTGAAAGAAACTCACACAGCTTTGAAGTGGAGGATGAATTTTCATTTTTGAGTGAACTATCACTATTAAATGTGTTGTGTGTACAGATTTGACTCTTCTAAAACATAAAAATCCCATAAAATATTAGCAGATATTTAAGAAACGTGCGAAGTGAACATACTAGTTGCATTGCTAAAGTCCTTTATTCTCCTTAGAAAATCTGAGTTTAGAGTTAGAATGTCTGTCTTTGTTTTGACCTCTATAACCAGCCCACTGCCAGTTCACCCAATTATATTTCAGCACCCTGGTTTGCCTTTATGGAAAAAACTGCATATTTCATTTCAGACACTAAAGCTGTCTCAATGTATGCAAATGCGGCCAAAACTGTGATTTTCAGAGTTACGAAGTGAGATTAAAAGATAAAAAAATACACATGAGGTGGTTTTAATTAATAAGTATTACATATATTACAAAGGTAAACATTAGTTGAACAGCTTAGTGTCAGACTCGCTCATGATAGTGTCGTCAATCTGGCAAACTGTGTTAGTCAAGTTGTCATCAGATAGGCCACATTTACAAAAAAACCCTATCCAATATTTTGAATTTGGACTACAATACCTTGCTCAACCGCTAGGTGTCAGTCCAATTTTCTGCACTTTTAAGTGATCCACTAGGTGTCAGTCCTATTTTCTGCACTTTTAAGTGATCCACTAGGTGTCAGTCCTATTTTCTGCACTTTTAAGTGATCCACTAGGTGTCAGTCCTATTTTCTGCACTTTTAAGTGATCCACTAGGTGTCAGTCCTATTTTCTGCACTTTTAAGTGATCCACTAGGTGTCAGTCCTATTTTCTGCACTTTTAAGTGATCCACTAGGTGTCAGTCCTATTTTCTGCACTTTTAAGTGATCCACTAGGTGTCAGTCCTATTTTCTGCACTTTTAAGTGATGTTTCTGATTTTTACCTTCTGGGTGCTTGTAGTGGTTGGTAATGTCCACACGTTTGTCTGAGCCCACAGCCTTGGTGCTGATGCAGTGACCGACTGCATTCTTGTCAACGTGGACCACAGCGAACGTCCCACATGCTTTCCTCTGCCAGAAAACTACATCACTGTTCACCTAGAGCAGGAACAGATAACTGTTAAGCAAGATATATTAACACTTAATAATAATAATAATGTCTTACATTTATATAGTGCTATTTTAGACATTCAAAGCGCTTTACACAATGAGGGGAATCTCTACATCCACCACCGGTGTGCAGCATCCACCTGGATGACGTGACGGCAGCCATATTACGCTAGACCGCACACCAGTTGATTGGTGGAGAGATATGAAGCTAATTATGATATGGGGATGGTTAGGAGGCCATGATGGACAGAGGCCAGTGTGCAAATTTGGCAAGGATGTCAGGGTTAAACCCCTACTCTTTTACGAAGGACATCCTGGGATTTTTAACGACCACAGAGAGTCAGGACCTTGGTTTAACGTCTCATCCGAACGACGGCGCTCACTGAGCAGTGTAGAGTCCCCATCAATATACTGGGGCATTAGGACCTACAAAGACTGCAGGTTGAGCGCCCCCTGCTGGCCTCACTAACACCACTTCCAGCAGCAACCTAGTTTTCCCGTGTGGTCTCCCATCCAGGTACTGACCGGGAAATCAGTTTTCTTTTAATTTACTGCATTCATTAAATACCAATGTATCTTTTTTTCAAGTTTTAAATTAAAATATTGTCATTTAGAGATTTTTTTTCTTTAATCACAATGTTTTCATTTGTTGTGCAAATAAGGGTTATTCAACCAAAAACTATTAATAAATATTCAAATCTGCAAAATAATACCTGTTTTAATGTTTTATGCACAGAAAACGCTTCAAATGACAACCCTTTTACTTTAAACTTACAAGAAATGTCAACAGTAGAATTAAACAAATCTTAAACTCTGAGAAACTGTCTGACAAGTAACAATTAAGCCATTTGAATGCCATAACGGTGAGAAAATGACAGAATTACTATTTTGGGTGAACTAACACTTAAATCACAAGGCTTTATCATACCTCAGCAAAAATGAAAGGTGCATCATATTTGAGGAAGACCTGCCCGCTGCGGATGGCAGCAACAGAGGTCGGACCACAGCGGAAAACACCCTGACTGGTTTCCTGAGGAGTCGCATCAATGGCCTGCCAACCTCCAAAACCTGCAGGCAGATCTGAACGAGCCATCCAGGCCTCATTCCACACATGGAAGGTCCTATACAAAGGAGAAGATTTCATATTCAATGTTTGATAGAGAAAATGGTTGCTGTATATTTTATAAATTGTATCTACTAACACATGGTGAAGCTATCTAGCATGATCCGACTTTATTTGATAATTAACACAATAAAAATTTAAAAAATAGTTATTCTTTATATTCATACACACAATAACATTACTACAAAAAAATACTGCAAAAAACAAATATGACAGTTTAGAATGAACTAAAAAATCACGACTGCATCAATCTCTAAAAAAGCAGTACATTTTAAATTGAAATCCTTTGTATATTACAAAGCTGCATTTTCCGACACGACATTAATTCTTGTTCAGAAACTATGATTTGAGAAAAAGTTTTAAAAATAAAACCCAATCCTTCCCAATCTCAAAATTCATTAGGACATGGTTACCATAGATAAAATAAACAAATAAAAAATAAATCTTTATTAATAAATAAATGAATAAAAACACTTTATTTTGATGGTCTGTTTGTTGAATGTAAGTTTCATTGCATCTACATGTCAACTAATTCTCATTAGATCAGTGTTTCTCAACTGGTGGGTCGCGGGAACATTTTCAGTGGGTCGAGGAGTGTGTGTTAAAAAAACAACAACAAAAGTTACATTTTTTTAAACTTATTTTTGCTTATATCGGACTTTTATTTTGAAATGCGTGCGCGACAACCCTACTGTTTGACATGTGAAATTTCATTTAATTATTGGAACAAAAATGTCAAGCGTAATTACGACCCTGAATACGTAAAGTATGGATATATATTGACAACAAAAAAGACTTAAAGTCTCAATGTCATATGTAGCGAGGTGCTCTCATGAGAGCATGAAACCTTCTAAATTAAAACAACATTTAGAAACCAGACAACATGTTTTATTAACAGTTTATTATTAACAGTATTTGTCATTTTTACTTTGTAATATTTCTATAATTTGATCCATTTTGTGAAATGACAACAATAAAATATTGTTTATTTGTAAGTCTTGGTGAATTTCTTATGATGTATCTGTCACTACTTGTTTATGTTAACAAATAAATAAAAATTAAGTATAATTCCTAAAATTGTATTATAGTTCCTAAACATTTGGGTTGCGGCTTGATGACCATGTAAAAATGTGGGTCCCATGGCCAAACCAGTTGAGAACCCCTGCATTGGATTATAAGTAGATTGTTAGGTTGGGGTTAGGGTTGGTTGTAAGCTGACATGTACTTGCATAGTTTCTTATAGTCATTATAACGTCGGTTGAAGAAACCGTATCAGCAGATATTAAGCAGACAGTCTATTAATACTCAAATGGATCATAAAAATTAAGTGTTACCAAAAATTCAAATTCTATTCCAATTGAATTACAAAAAGTCTACTACAACAAAAACTATTTAAACGAATAATAAAACAAATAAAATATAATATTGTCTCTTAAATGTTGATTTGGTGAGTGCTGGACATTTTGACAAAGAAGAGGCAAAGTGTTCAGCTTTAAACCTTCATTATAAACATTGTCCAAACTTTTTTTTCCTTTTTTTAATCTGTATTTGTCCTGTAACAATGATAATATATTCATTCATTCATTTTCTTTTCGGCTTAGTCCCTTTATTAATCCGGGGTTGCAACAGTGGAATGAACCTCCAACTTATTTAGCACATGTTTTACGCAGCAGATGCCCTTTCAGCTGCAACCCATCTCTGGGAAACATTCATACACACTTGACACTCATACACTACTCACAATTTAGCCCACCTAATTCACCTGTACCGCATGTCTTTGGACTGTGGGGGAAACCGGAGCACCCGGAGGAAACCCACACAAACGCAGGGAGAACATGCAAACTCAGAAACGCCAACTGACCCAGCCGAGGCTTGAACCAGCGACCTTCTTGCTGTAAGGCGACAGCACTACCTATACTGCGTCACTGCGTCGCTAATAATATATTATAATGATATACTAATAATGTAAATGTAAAATGTAATAGTACTATAACAGACGGTATTAATATATATTGCTGATGCTACAGAACAGAATGAAAAAGATTTACACAGACTCTTACCAGATTGAGTCCCGGTTCAGGCTGTCGATCAGGTCATAGTTCTCGTCAAGATAAATGTCTACAGTCATGGACACATCAGTGTCGTGAGCAGAGCAGAAGTTGGTGACCGGCCGAGCAGGAATACCAAAACACCTCAACACTAAGAGGAAGATAAGAAGAATAGAAGTGCATCACATTTAGAAAGACCATTTTTTTTCTCCTTGTTCATTTTGAAAGATGTCTCACGTGTGTTGGTGACTCCAGCAAAGGCCAAGCTCTGTCCATATTTGACAGGTACTCCTCCACATTTGTGGTATTGCTTCAAGATGGCACTGCTGCCACACCAGGCTGTTGGAGCAGTCCCGTCCGCATAGCAGTTCGACCAGTTGCCCATCAACACACCAGAGTCATCATTGGCATTAACCTGTGTGAGATGGTTGTAAGTGTTAGCAGTTCTCTATCCAAACATCATCATGATAGACATACATCAGGCTTTCTGATAGGGTTGGGCGATGTGACAAAAATCTCATCACTACATAAGTCATCTCATATTGTCCTAATATATATATATACAGTTGAAGTCAGAATTATTAGCCCCCCTGTATTATTAGCGCCCCTGTTTAATTTTTTCCCCAATTTCTGTTTAATGGAGGGAAGATTGTTTCAGCACATTTCTAAGCATAATAGTTTTAGAAACCTATTACTAATAACTGATTTATTTCATCTTTGTCATGATGACAGTAAATAATATTTTACATGATATTTTTCAATACACTTCTATACAGCTTAAAGTGACATTTAAAGGCTTTACTAGGTTATTAAGGTGAACTAGACAGGTTAGGGTAATTAGGCAAGTTATTGTATAAGGATGGTTTGTTCTGTAGACTATCGAAAAAAAAAATAGCTTAAAGGGGCTAATAATTTTGTCCCAAAATTGTTTTTTAAAAAATTAAAAACTGCTTTTATTCTTGCCAAAATAAAACAAATGAGACTTTCTCCAGAAGAAAAAATATTATCAGACATACTGTGAAAATTTCCTTGCTCTGTTAAGCATCACTTCAGAAATAACGTGTGACATTGTTCTCATATAAATTTTGAGTATTACAAGTATTACAGTAAACAATGTCTTTTGTGTCACAATGAAATAAACAATATATCATAATATGAAATGATAGACTTTTTTTTTTTGTCCATATACATTCATACATACATACAGACGTGCACAAAATAGTTGGTATCCTTCAAATTTGTCCAAACCAGTTTCATTAGTTTGACGCTTTAGTGCATCCGTCGAACCACATTTTTAAAAATTATTGTATTTTAAGGTTTTGATATACAGTATATACACAGAACAAGAAAAGGAAAACATTGGCTTGTACAATAGATGTATAAAGGACAATATAAAGGGAAAAAAAGTAACAACAAAAAAAACCTTAGTCACAAAATGCTCTTAAGTTATCAAGAAACTGACCCCAAGTAGCCAAACATTAACTTATAGAGCTAGTCTTTAAAAATCGGAGTCTCTCTATCTGAATAACAGATATCATGTGGGAAATCTTGAACCGCGATTTAACAGCAATATCTGATTTCCATTCGATTATTTTCAGTCTTTTTTAATTAATCATCTTTATTTTTCATTGTTATCAATGAATGAATGAATGAATGAATGAATAAATGAATGAATCAATCAATCAATCAATCAATCAATCAATCAATCAATCAATCAATCAATCAATCAATCAATCAATCAATCAACCAACCAGTCAGTCAGTCAGTCAACAACCAAAATCAATCAATCAATCAATCAATCAATCAATCAATCAATCAATCAATCAATCAATCAATCAATCAATCAATCAATCAATCAATCAAACAATCAATCACTTTTTTCAGTTTAAGTTATTTCAGTGCCGACTGCGGTTTTTCTATCTTCATTGAATATGTCACAACAATTTTGCTTACGTCTGTATTGTCATATTGCAAATTTTGACATGCTTGATATAAGAAATCAAAGACTCACCATGGCAGACACAACTCTGGCCACGTTAACAGGGTCTCCCCATCCACTGCATGCTCCACCACACTTCTCCAGCACAAACAAACACGCAGCCAGGACTCCTTCGTCAAACTAATAATGACACAAAATCAAGCAATGAAATCAATGAGCTCCCAAATATTAATGAAAGTAAACTACACTTAATAAAAAATACATTTCTGTTGAACAAAAATAGGAGATATTTAAAATGCTGAAAACCTGTAACCATTGACTTACGTAGAATTTCCGTTTCCTACTATGGATGTCAATGGGTTTCAGCTTTCTTCAAAATATATTATTTCATGTTCAGCAGAAGAAAGGAACTTACAGGTTTAGAAACACTTTAGGCTGAGGAAATGTTCAGTTTTGGGTGAACTATTTCTTTAAGCACACTAAGTAAATTTGACTCAAATAATGTAAGGAATATGTTTAATATATTAGTATATAAGTCTCTTTATGCAATAAGCTTGAGTGTATTTAATTAAGGAACACGTTTGCTCTTATTTTTATGTGTGGATTAATGTTTGGCTCTTTTGGTCAGGATTGGTAGAGCTACGCATCGATGAATTGGCTCTTCATTGTTTGAACTCTCAGTAATGATTAAATCACACTGAACTGAGCTAAACTGAACTGAACTGAACTTAAACACTAAAACCTGAACCACACTGTTCCAGTTACTGAACCACACTGTTCCAGTTACTATGACCATTTATGTGAAGCTGCTTTGACACAATCTACATTGTAAAAGTGCTATACAAATAAATAAAAGCTCTTACTTGACCAAAGTGCCATGTTCTGGAAGCGATCTGATGTTTAGTTCCATAGAAGATTTTGCCTGTGTCATTCAGCACATACTCAGTCCTCTGGGCATCTTCATCCAGATACACAGCATCATCTGGTAAAGAGAGAGGGAGATTATTATTCATTTATTTTCATTTCACAGGACTATTAAAAATAACTATATTAGTGCTCCAAGATCAAAGGTTTTTGGGGTTTAGAATGACACAATCTTCATTTTGGGGTGAACTAACCCTTTAGATCTTTCTACTTTTCCACACATTTTAAAGTATTTTACATGTTACGTATCTTGTATTTATTGGATAATTGTATTTAGATGTGATTCAGAGGTTATAACTCTTTATTTAGTACAGTACGTACCTTTGCACCAGGGGTTAAACAGCATGTAAATATCATTGCTGGGGTTGCATGATGAGGTGGCTCTTCCCTTCGGGCCGCAGGTCACAATGGTCAGGCTGTAGCGTCCGATGCACGCGGTGGGAAGCGAGTACACGCTGAGTTTGATTCGGTTTTGGCACTTTTCAACAATCTTGGCCTCCCAGCGATTTTTCTTGAATTCTTCCACAAGTGGAACAATCACCAGTGTGCCGTTGGGTATTGATGGAACATTGCCTGAGAAATAAATGCAAAAAGAAGGTATAACAATAGTAATTATTAAATAGCCCATCATTCATTCATTCGTTTTCCTTCGGCTTAGTCCCTTATTTATCAGGGGTCACCACAGTGGAATAAACCACCAACTATTCCAGCATTTGTTTAATGCAGCGGATGCCCTTTCAGCTGCAACCCAGCACTGGGAAACATCCATACACTCTCACATTCACTACGGCCAATTTAGTTTATCTAATTTACCTATAACCCATGTGTTTGGACTGTGGGGAAAACCGGAGCACCCGGATGCAAACAAGCAAACTCCACACAGAAATATAATATATATATATATATATATATATATATATATATATATATATATATATATATATATATATATATATATATATATATATATATATATATATATATATATATATATATATATATATATATATATATATATATATATATATATATATATATATATATATATATATATATATATATATATATA